ATTGGCACACATTAACAGCTTAGCCCATTAAGTTCCACTGCACCCTACTGGGGCTATGGTGGCGTGCTGATTGCACCACCGACTTTGGTAGTGCAATTGTCAGAGCAAGGACTTTTTACCTCTGAGATTGTTGGTTCTATTCTCACCACTTCAATGACACTTATGTGAAAAGAGTCATGCTGTCAACACTCTGACAAAAGTTGTGGGTTTTCTCCAGGAACTCCAGTTTTCTATACCAGGTGATCTTGATACGCGGAAAAGTACTGGCACTAGTTGTCAAATAGAAATCCATTTTATGATTAAAACAACTGAATATCTCCTGTAATATACTTTATTTCGATTCCATATTTTTGTCAGAGCTATAGTTCTCATAACCAAGCATAATTACAAAATTTCAACTAGTTTCATGAAGAATAACGAAAGATATAATTGACTGAATACATCAAAATGGATTTCTATTCGGACAACCCTTTCTGAGCGCTGATTGGCTAAAATACGAACACGAGATCACCTGGTAGAGGGAATGTTGACAGGGTGGCTTGTGATTAGCCACTAACTCACCCTCCATAAGGTGGCTGCCAAAGGCACCCTCAGAAAGCCTTTTACTCAATCAAATTGTGCTATATGTTGAACTGTACCAGCTACAGAGAAAATATACATTTCATGGGTTACAAATATAATACAGTGACAAATGTCAAACTGCACACAATACACTGAAGAACAAGAATATTCAAATCACTTCATGGCAAATTTAATATACATCTATCAAGCAGTAGTCATAGTAGCGACAGCACTACTGGGCTGGCGCACAGTTTTGTGTGCACGGTAAATGGAAAATCTGGAACTACCATTCTATTCTAATACAAATTCTATCTAAAACGCTTTAGTTTCCCTTCTTCATACAAAAACTGGCCGAAGATATTCGCCCTTCAATATCCCAACAATTCACTTCGTCGTGTAAGGGAATTTTCAGGAAACACTTAACCCTTCGCAGAAATTTGTGTACACGGTAGATGGAAAATCGGAGAGAGCCATTCAATTCAGCATAAAATTCCGCTTCATTCCATAGTAAACGTCTATAATCAATTATATATAGAAAACATTTTATCGCGTTCATACCTCCCGGCTGACAATAGAATTTCACTTAGTTTTCTGACAAGCGGAAATTATCGTCGCGCGTATATTTATAGCATGCATACTGTGCGCTTTATAATACTACAGCTTTGAGATTAATCTGGATGTTACCGATGACGTTACATTCTCCACAAAAGTAACGTAATAAGCACTTAAAGATAATTGCATTTGCTTCCGAACGTGTTTACCTGCCCTAAATTCCAGATTGCTTTACTAGTTTCGCTTGCAGTTCCAAACTACGAAATTCCCAATGTTGGACTGGTTCTGGAAACGTGCATGAACGCATTATGATTAAACTAGAATAATAACGTACAATGTATGCGCAAATTAACCATGTTTACGCTCACCAAAACACGGTATCTATTATAATTGTAAACACCATTGGTAATACTATAAAATGCAAGTAATTCTAGCTTCAATAACTGAAATTTTAATTTGGCTTAAAATACCGTTTCGGACAATCAATGACAAAACACTTTGGACAAAATAGCTAAACAGCGTACGTTTACAACATAATCGACCCCCCGCACCCCCCGTTCAATGTTGTGTGTGGAAATACCTGCGCAAAATGTTCCTTGCCAGCCACCCAACATTGTTTAGGGTGGGGGAGGGATAGTGGCTTTATGCTGAATAATATTTGGAAATGCGGAGATATGTATATATTATACCACTGTCCAAAAACCTTTTGTCACTGATTGTAGTATCTATAAGTACCTGGGGTGCAAATTGAACTATTTTTATACTATTTAGATATACTTTTGTAACAATCCTTCCCGCCTGGACTAAGCTGCCCTCAGCTTTTGAGATATATAAAAATATATGAAGATATATTGTTTTAAGCTCTGTGTGGCTTAACACGGGCATATTACCAAATGCGTAATAACTGAGTCTGTACATATAGTACGTATTAAATGACTAATATATGTTAACACTACATAAGAGATTATACAAGAAATATAATACTTATGCCTAAATGCACCTCAGGGGTAATCTACAATAATATATTTTAGCTATTACACATCAGAATAAAGTAAGTCACACCAAAATGAATGTGAAAACAAAGCACAAAATTGTTTGTTTTCCTGAAAGTATGTGTACCAGGGACTAAAAATGATTTTGTTGATTCAATCAAAACGTCTGCCGAAACTGATTTAATTTTCATAAAATAACTTACTTTTGCAACAGCGAAAATTTTATTCAAATTCTTGGTTGATAAATTCTCACGAGTCTGGCTAATAATAAAGAAAAATATACAAATCGCATGCAATTTTAGTCGAAAAACGAGTAATATATCATAATACAAATAATAAAATATATACAAAACTTAAGGGTGTCCAATTTCAAGTCAGTGTTCATGTCCGTCGTTATCAGGAATTTGAAGTTATATAGCAATATCTGCATCATGTTCGTACTTTTAACCACGGGGGTTTCCAAACGGTATCCTCTGTGACAAGGGCCATATTACCACTTGGATTGTAGCACTCGGCTGGAAGGTTAACTTGAATTGCAAAGTGACCATCTTCCTGTACAAATGTCCCAGAAACTGCGGCCACAAGTTTGATGAAGAACAACAACGCCAAAAAACATTGACAATTCATCTTGCCACTGACTGATCCGGGGGATCTGCCAAGAACCGTTCACGAAAACGCCGATCCACCACCAGTTGTTAGGATAATGTATGATTTTTATTCTGTTTACTGCGCGAGGACCTTGTAAGCTTTACCGGGATCTTTATTTAATTGTTTAAGCCCGCATCCTCATACCACTTGTTACGAGGCTTTATTTAGGCAGTGAATCGTTATACAACTTTTGTAATTATTGTTACTAATGTTAATAGTTCTGCTTCAAAGTAAACACAACAGCCCACCATGCAAGGTTATTGTCCAACTTTGACAGTTTGACAAATTATTTATCCTGCCTAATGGACAGATAATTTACACTTTTACACAAGTCCGAAATGATATATACTTTATCTGCGTTTTGCAGCAAAAATGCTCATTATCTCTCCATTTGATGTAACTAGTATCTATAAGTACCAGGGGTGCAAACTGAACTATTTTTATACTATTTAGATATACTTTCATAACATTCACACAATTTCGATGTTTTCAAACTGTTTTACGAGCGTTTTATATAACTCTATATCAGCATTAAAGCTTCTTTTATAGTCCTGTAAAAACCTTCACAAGGACTCAAGATTTTATAAAAGTTTTAAAAAAGTTAGGTCAGGGTTAGGGGTTAGTGTTGGGGACTAGATGCCACAAATTTATCATTATGATAAATTCAAAAATGTGTCGCGAATTTATCATGATTCGGACCACTGATCTGAAATAAGACTGGATAAAGCATCTGCTGTGCATAAGTGAAGCCAATGGCGGCCATATTGGATGTCCCACTGTTACTCCAATCTGGTGTTGTGGACATGTTTAATTCCGTTACGTTTCTAGTCACTAGTGGGAAAGGACAAATATTGCCTAGATAAGAATTTTTTATCAGTAGCCTCTTTTCCCCCCTAAATCTGCCGGTGAATAACTAATGGGGGCATCAAATATGGCCGCCATCAGCCTCATTAGGTGGTGTATAAAACGTTCGAAAACTATTTCGAAGAGGTTTTGGAGCTATATTTCACAAGTCACATTAGGCGATGACATTTGCTTTATAGTCTAAGTGAACTTAAACAGCAAACGATTAGACCAGTCATGAATTTGACTGATTTATAAATCTCATCTTATTAAAATATTCTGAATTCAAAATCGGACTACTGAATTCAATAGGATGCTTTATCCAGTCTTATGCACGTATCATCGGCTTCCCCGTGGGGTCGACCCCCGGGCTGACCCGGGGGATTGTAAAAAACCTGGAGCAAACATGAAGATTTCTCCGCGGGGTGGGGCAGGTGTTACGAGGAAAGTCCCCTGGGTCATTTTTTTTTTCGCGTACAATCCCCCTGGTCAAAGGTACAAAAATGTGCTTCAACATAAAGTTTGTACATATGTCAGTTGACGTTACATATAAATTTCTTATAACTTTACGTCGATTTCAACTTACTTTTCACTCGAATGTTCCGGAACTTCGTTCCGAACTTCGCAAATTCGTTGCCAAGTTCAAAAGTTCATAATGAAATTCACAAACAGGTTCATAAACAACGCCTCTGATTGGCTATTAAATCAAACCAGTGATTTTTGGCATAATGAAGCAATCAACCAATAATATTGCTTCGCCGAATCACTCAACTTTACTGTTGAAATATTAATAAGCAAAATTTCAAAAGAATTGTGCACGGTGTGGTCGTCTCAACATAAAATCGTAGCCAGTGGCGTAGCAAACTCGATAATTGGGGGGGGGGGCAATATTCATATATTCGTGTTTACAGCCCTTAAAAACAATCGATTTAAAAAGAAATTAGTAACGCAGAACACGAATATATGAATATTGCCTCCCCCCCCCAATTATCGAGTGTGCTACGCCACTGATCGTAGCTCATTATAGACGCTTTGAAGTTTAACAAGTTTTCAAACCATATCTTAAATGACTTTTCTATCTTTAAACTTTTTTCTGTTTGTTTCAAAGCCAATATAATAAAAACCGCCAAAAGTATTGTTAATTACATGTTTGAAACGACCCTGTTCTACTGGCCTTTGATCAACCGGCCTCGTTTTGATGAGGTTCAAAAGCAGCTGAGAAGGCATTATGCGTAGCTTTTTGTATAGCACAATTTTATGTTAAATGTGAATAACCAAAAACTCATTTTAAATTTACAATTTACAAACACTCTTAAGCCCAGGTCAAGTGCAAGTGAAAGTTGCAACGGAAGTGAAAGTTGCAACGGAAGCGAGAGTTTGTTTGACCCAGGTTTTATATAAATTTTATGAAGCCACCAGACAAGCGTCGCAATAGAAATCTTCTAGTAGTTCTCCCTGTTCCTCGCAAAGATCGATGCAATCACCATGAAACCATGTGTCACAGCTGTCACAACAAATCATAAATCTACAAAAATATAAGAAAAGGAAATTCGAACCTTAATAAGTGCATGCTAATATTAGCAAATCTTAACAAATTGTAATGGTACCTTCCATCGTCTGGCTGCTTGCAAATACAGTGTAATTCTGCAACTTTAGCATTTTCAACCGCCATTCCTAGAAGTACAGAATGCATTTAACATAAAGACATGAAAGAAGGCATATTGAACTAATTTAAAATCATGTATTCCTACACTAGTTGTACTTGATAAAGCAGAAAGACCTGTATACCTTTATTCTTTTCAGCCATCTTTTTCCTTTTCGTTTCGACAGCTTTCCTCGCACCTTCCTTTCTTCTGATCTTTATTGTTTCAAGATGATCGATCCACATTTTAACGTCTGCTTCGCTGAGTAAGGTCTTTTCTGCCAGAAGTTTTATCGTATCGTCTGTGATAACTACATTTGGTTTCTTGAAATATTCACCTATCACTTTTCGGGGAGGTTGGATACAGCTTTCACCGCCGTGCTCTATCACCCATTTTATGTTATCCTCCGGGCTTAGATAATAGCCGGAGCAAGCACCAACACATGTATCGCACTTAGACCCCCACTTCCTTTTGGGATCTGGTATTGGAAGAGGAACGTATGTCAACGGCGGTCCATCTTTAAACCAAACAGGTTGTGAATTTGGCTTTCCATTCACGCAAACTGGATGTGGACAATTTTTCTGATAACAAGTGCATAACATAAATACATAGTTTTCTGGGGGATTCTTAATTATGTGATTGTTTCGAATGGTCCACACCTTGGAAAAGTAGGCATACTCCTCTGGAAATTCTTTTTTAAATGCTGACTGCTTTTTTGCTGAACCTTGAAGAAATGTGAGTAGATGATCTCTTCTTTCTAAGTATCTTTTGGAGACTTCATTTTTAGCACCCTTGACTAAAAAAATAGGATCACCGGCAGCCACTGTATTTATGTAAACATCAGCAGCAGTGTCGAGATTTGCTTGCAATTTTACGTTGTCAGTTCCATCAGTGCCACGATTTGAACCAAGAATCGTTGATGGTATGAACACGTTTGAATGGCCAACAGCAAGGCATCCATTTAACAATTCAACTCGGTTTAAATAGCTTCCTCCACTGAACCTCGAAGTTACAACTGTACAAACCTTCGCCATTTTGAAGTGCCATTCTGTCCACATGAATTGCACTTCAAAGTGCGATGGGCCCTCATCACCCGCACCATCAACCCTAATGCAATCTACATTCTTGTGCTGCAAAAGAGGCTGTATACTTGGATGGTCATGCAAACTTTCAAAATCTGCAGCATGTTGGGCTGGGTTTTTAGGAAACACCTGGTGTGCTTTGACAACACCAACACACGTCTCTGCTGTGTTCTCTGTCCCCATGAATAAATATGACGTTGTCTGGAGAACGGATGCGTATTTATTCACATAATCTGTTCTGGTTGTCAATTCAGGATTACTTGCTTCTGCCAGGATCTTGTGCTGTTTGTGGGTATAAGTTGTATCGAGCCTGAACCCAGCAGCATCATCTCTATTCAATAGCACTTTGTCTTCTCCATCCTTTAGTTGGATATAATCAAGACATTTGTAGAAGGCACAACTCCAATGCGCATCGATGTTCAAACGCACATTAAACCCTTTTCTTGCTCGACGTGACTTAAGCCCTGCAATACCCCAGTACCTTCGTGCCGATAGCCTCCTTTTATTGTGAACAAGGCACAACTGTACAATAGTCCCATACCCTATCTTTGTGCAGTACTTTTTTTCTAGATGCTGCTTAATACGATTATACGTAATCTTCGGTCCCCTTTTCAGGTTTCCACTGAAGGTCAATACTCCAGTACGGCGCCATGCATCAGCTCCAATCCGATTTTCTTTTGCAAAAGCCTCAATGTCCTTGCCAATATTTGGGAACTTACGAAGTGTCTTATTTACGGATTTTGGGACCTTTCGTTTCAGCAGAGCTTTTCGTAACTTCCTTAGCAATCATCCTTTTCTTCAACCTAGCAAAAGCAGCCTTCTTCTTCTTTATCTGTTCTTGAAAGGACTTACTGTGTAAGCTGCCACGTGTTGTCAGTTCAACCCAGTCTTCGGGATCATCACTCTCAGAGTCGGTCCACACCCCACCAACCCTGTGCTGTTCCTCTGAAATTGTTTGAGATCTAGCTGTTAAATATGCTTGACGAGATTGTCGCCAAAGTGTGGTTTCTTCTGTGTTGAGATCACTGTCTGACAAGAAGTGAACAAAGGCATGTAGCATCTGTTCAAGACCTTCTTTCGTTAAGTCAGGGTAAAGAATTTCGAGTTCTGCTATAAATGAAAACCAGTTATACACATTTTCACGCAAAATTATCAGCCAATGTTCTTGCGATTGCACGAAATTTATATTGGCGTTCTCTTTAACAAAATCTGGATCTATTTCAATAGGACCGTCACATTCACATGAACTTGCGTCCATCCTTTCAATTTCACTTCCTTCAGCATCAGAGTTTTTCTTTCCATTTCCATTGGACACATCATCAGTATCACTGTCACTATCTAATATTTCCTCTTCCGAATCACTAGCTTCAGTAACCCCAAACGAGTCGAGGACAGCTTTCTCTTTTGCCCTTACTAGTTCGTCTACGGTATTTCGTATTGCAGTATACTCTTTAACCGCTTGTGCAACTTTATCTCTTTCTTTATGCAAATTACTAATACCATATGTTGATTGTGCTTGTGATGCTGACATTCCAGCTGTAGTTGCTACCCTTATCAATTTTCTGTCCGCTTCTGTACTTGCAAGTTCACATAATGCCTTTAGTGCTTCTCTATTCAAGCCCAATGACAATTTCTGTTCAGGAATTAATTTCTCAATAAGTTCCTGAAGTCTTTCATAATCTGTGTTAGAACTATACTCTAAAACGTGCAATGTACCTTTGACTTTCAATATTACAACAGGTAACTGCATAAATCGACGAATTGCTTTATCGGTCTTATACCCTTTCGATTGAAACTGAGAACAAAACAAAACTTTAAGAGGAATAACACCACTACTTTCAACAAGTTTGGCAGCTTCAACCAAAGGCAAACATGTCTTGCAAAGTGCCAGACATCCATGCTTTCTTTTACAGTATATGGTTCTTGCAACTTGAAACTCAACAATTGAAATATCTCGTAAATGAGATTTATAAATTCCGTCTACTTGAACACCATCAGTCAAATTTTGTCCAACATACTTTAAGTATCTTTGGAAAATGAACTCAGAACTCAACGATTGGTCACTGTTCAACTCAGTGGAGGCGGGCGCACTTAGAAAAAATTAATCTCAGGAGATTCCTCACTTACTTTTTTACCTGGGGGTTGCACTTGAGTGGATGCTAGTTCGTTCTGCTCACTTTCTGAATCACTTGGATGATAACTGTAGAACTTTTCTTTTCTTGCTTGAATTTCTGCCTGACTTAATACCTGCACTTCATTTTCTGATAGAATTTCTGTTTCATCTCCACTGTTAGAACTGCTTTCTTTTGTCAACCAGCCTTTGATAGTACTTGTCGAATCGCTGCCTGTTTCCTTCCTGACTTTCTTCTTCTTTGTTTTCTTCGATCTGGTTTCGGCTTTATTCAACATTTCCAACTCTTTCACTTTCAACTGCTTCTGCTCCACCATTTCCAAGATCGATTTATTAATCTCAGCAGCCTCTAAATATTTCTCTACGCTTGAGTACTTCTGCTTTTGTTTCTGCAAGAGATCAATTGTTTCATCGTGTGAATGAATAGCACTTGATACACTCTTGATATGCTCTTCTCTCAAACTGCTTTGCATATACTTTCGTTTTGGCTTGGATGGAGTAGCACCAACACCAAATGCAGCCGAACGTGATATCTTTTTTGAGTAAGGATAGCCTTCATCATTCACCTTCTTTCTTGCCAGAGTAAATAACTCACCACGATTCTTTCCTAGCGCATAATTTTTTTCAACTAATTCTCTACTAGCTTTGTTAACTGCTTTTTGGTATTCAGTTAATTTTGTATCACCAGCATCTTTTCCAAAGATTTTGCTATCTTGTTCAAGATTTGTAAGATCAATTTGGACACATTTTTGCATCTCACATTGTGATTCCTCCTAAAACGAATACAACCGCATGTATCATCCATATGTATACATGTATAGCAACCGTTATCTATTCCTTGAAATTAACATCAATAGACAACTTGCACTAAAATCAAGGTCACATGAATCTCAATTTACTTATAAAAGTATGAACGGGTTTGAAGATAAAATTGCTGACAGGGCCGCCAGAAACAAAGTGCTTAAACACTAGCCTGGAATCATACAAATAGTTTGTGCACAGATGTGTTACAGTTTGTATGCGTTATCATACAAACTGTATGAGGTTCAGGTTCCCACATCCTCGAGTAGGTAACAATGTGTCTAGCCCATGCAAATTCGAAACAAATTTTGACTAACAAAGTTCTGGCAGAAGAGCTTAAGGAATCGCTGAATGCTCAACATGACGACAATTTCCAAATAAATGCTTTATCACACACCCGATTCCAACACCCTCAAGTAGGGAACATCCCGACATACAGGCTAGACACAAAAACCAAAACCAGCTGCCATTTTCAAAAAATACAAAACATACAGTAATTGGCATCTTGAATTACACCCAAACATGAATTATAACAAGATGGAAATGAGTTTTTGATATTTCATTGTGACTTTCGAGTTTTGATGATAATATTGCAATAAAATCAAAATATCTCAAACTCATTTCCCTCTTGTTTTAATTTAATCGATATCTTGGGATATATGATGGTAATCTTCAGATTATGTTTTGTTTTGTTTAAACATTCTCAATCAATTACATTTGTAGAAGATGTATAAAATCTCAAACTAAACTTGAAAAACTCACATCAACAGCTTCCCCAAGAGCCAGTGACCCAGAACCAAGTTGAATCAAAGTTCTCTGTCTTTTAAAGTTCTTTACTAGCTTGCTTTCACCATCTGTGCCATAAGAACAATATTAATATTGGCTAAGCAAACAGCTGTTGTTAATCCTTGATGTTAATGGCAAAGTCTTATTAAAAAAACAGGACTTTGAAAAATTGAACATAAAAGATAATATGTAAAATTTCATGTGCACTTATATACACTATACCTGGTCTTTGATCATCCTTCCTAGAGTTATTGCTACAGGTATTACCCTTAAAGAAAAACATAAATATATATACCTTATATATATATATATATTTTTGCTATATTTTTATAGGTGTGTGCACAAGGATTACCCCACTACAAGGGATGGACACTAGAGCCCATTTTATTGTAAACCGTAAAGGGTTATTATGTATTGAAAGTAAACAAATATACAGCATTGCATTCATACTGCAAATATCTCTTATATGATATATCAGGGATGCAGAGCATGGAGGCCCAGGGGCGAATTCTGGTAACTTACAGGGAGAATTTTCCCCCGAAAAATATCTTTACTGATTGCCTTTCCGAGGCTCAGATCAGATCTCCACGGTCCCTGTATGTACAGTATAAATTACATGATACATATAAAATGTTATGATAAAAAACAAATACCTTTATGGTATTTTCCTGATTTGCCCCCTTTTTATCTTTTACCACAAGCACAAGTAACTTGTCTTTGTCTTTAACATCTTCGATCTGACTGATATCAATGTACTCATTCCAGTCCTTGTCAAATCTTTGTAAATATATTTGTTCACTTTTCGGCAAGTCAAATTGACCTTTTACATATTCGTTTGCTTCCTGAAGTGTTCTAAAGTCAGCAGCCTCTATACTAAATACTTTGCGTCTTTCCCCAAGTTGTACTATAACCTGTATTCGCAAAAATTAAATATACAGTAAATAATTAAATAGTCTGCTTCACAACAGTGTTCACAACAATGACAGGTCAAGCATTTACAATAAAGTGTTAACCTAATTTAAATTTTAAATTACTTTACTGAACTAAAACATGCAAAATATTTGCACATGCACGTTCCTTAAAGAATGTTTCAAAGTAAGCACGGATTAAATTTAGCAGATGGTCATTTTTGCTCTTAAAAAATACTGGATTAGTTTCCTACCTTTCTCGACTCGGCTATCACCGCCATATTGATTGATTTGATGCTTCCGCCGGTCTCGCCCCAGACTGCTAACAATTCGCGCTTTAAATTCAGAATATATACAATCTCACGAAATCTCCCTCCCCAATTTTTAACATTTTAAACAAAGTGGCAAATTTCCCCCTGCCCCACGGACAAGATTTACTGCAATTCTCCTGTATTTTCTCAATATTTCCCCTGGTCAGCCTGGGGGTCGACCCCACGGGGAAGCCGATGATATGTGCATTACATTGTGATATAGAAGACTTTGTTGCCATTGCGAGAAAGGCTTTCAAGGCAATTGAGGGAAGCTCTGTAAATTCGGAACATGTCCTACTATGCATGTCTGATTTTAGCGACGAACTGTCCCAACCACCATCAACGTTTCACATCGACTTATTCCTGAAAAAGATCGTCGATGATCCTTCACACGATTCTTACAGACAGTCCCTTCAGTCTGCAGCATCATACGCCCAGGTAAATTTAGACCTATTTCACCTACTGAGTGGAACACTTTGGTGTTGGGTATCTGCGTTGTTTGAAGATCATCTATCCAAAAATTGTGACGATTTGCACATTACGAACAGAGAATTTACTTGGGCTACAGGGAAACTTCATCAATTGTTTCTCACTCATGAGTATAGAAGTAATGTTGTTAGCGCTTTTGGTGTTACAAAGGAGAGCGAAATCGATGATGGACAAAGAAGTTTGTCAGCATCCCTTCTTCTTTGTCTTTACCAATTGTTTCTCAGAAAACTGGTCAAACTTACTTGTGAACGAGGTGAAGCAGAATCGGTGTCGTCGGTGGAGTTTGATGTGTATGATATGAGTGCAGAGGGCCAAGGGAAAGTCCAGTACATCGGTTGGATGGGCAATAAAGAAATGCCTGGATAAATACAAATCCTATCTCGTAGGAAATATGTTTTTTACATCACCAGCTATTCGCGCGAAGCTAAATGTTGAAATTTAGAAGATTACTCTTTTAGAAAACCATGCTATCGTTCAATGTGAACTTCTTGAAACATCTTCCAGCAATACCGAAATATTCAGTGCACGACAATAGACGGTTTTAGATAACAAGACGCGGACGTCAAGAGGACGTGAAAATGACGTATGCACCTCACGTTCACTTCGAGGTTTTAATCTGGGATGGCTTGTTTGTCTTTTTCGAAGCAAATTTTTGTTTTCTTGTTACCTGTTCATTCCTGTATTGTTTTCAATCAGTTGTCAAGATATGTGCAAGAAAAGGCTATATAATACTGGCCAAGTGTTTCCTGATGAATTAGTATGGACATTCAATCATTTTTTTTGGAAAAAAAGTTATTTTTTTGTATTTTGAAAAGTGAACTTTGTTGCATCATTTGGAATAAATACAACAGCTGCAGGTATTGTTTACGAGCTAATTGTGGCCTATTCAATCAAGTTTGTCAACTGTTCAGTATAAATATAGCATCAGTGTTTATATTGGTAAAATTTAATACTGTTTACAATAGTTTTTCACGCTGGAAAGCGTTTTTTTGCTTGTCCTACTTGTTGCACTGTCGACTGTTGTGACAGAGCAACTAAAATTGATTGAGTTTTTACTGCTTTTAAGTGCTCTTATTTTTCTATTTTCCCACGTTTTCCTGATTTTAAACATTGTTAATATAACTTCAGTTTAGTTTGTTCTAAAATATTTGTTTTGGTGAAGATTACTAGCGGTGAAGTGGTTATTAACAATGCTTGCTGTTTTGTTGATTTGTTTATGGCGACCGAAAGTATTTGTGGAAAATCAACTTGTCTAAAATTTAGCGAAATACAAGAAAAACAACCTTGTCAATGGAAAAACTTTAGCTACTATCATTAAACAATACATGGGGAACAAAATAGGATATTTTTATTATGCATAGTCTCATATTTTTTTCAAAAGAAGCAAAAATCTGTGACGTTCTAGAGAGGATGTGAAAATTGTATTTTCGCGTCGTGAAATCGTCCAAGATGACGTCGCAAACCAGAAGCTGACGATAGTTTGGCGCCAAATGACGACATCCACATCCTCTTGACATCCGCGTCTTGTTATCTAAAACCGTCTAATATAGGGAGCGAGGACTGTTGCACATCAGTGACAATACCTACGAATTCTTTTTGGCAGTTGAACAGAAGCAAATAGATCGAAGAATAAACACGAACATGCTTGCTGCTCTTAAGAATGATTTGGTGGATGACGCATTGGCAAAACGACAAAACATGGACCCCCGGTCCATGGATTAGGATTAGGATTATTTAATATTCAGTAACCGAAAATATTTTAACAAACAATATAAACCGCAAATAGCAATAGCTAATCTAGGCGGTGTTATAATAATAATGATAAATAATAATAATAGTATATATCTTAAATAATAATCTTCAATTTGTTTTCAATCTATCACACAACACAACAAGTATCACTCAGGATAGTCCTTCTCATTTACCAGAATCTGGAGAAGTAAGTCATGAATCTTTTCAGAAAACATTTTTCTTCCTAAATTACAAATATATAACGGAACGTTGTTCCACACTTTAGCACCAATTCTACCGGGTGTCTCAAAAAAAAGTATCGGTGTTTGATTTGTTATACTGTTAAAACTGGTCAAGGAGTTTCTATCAAATAAACTTCACTGAATTCAGAAAGCCCTAACTTAAATTTTGATATATGACTTGAAGATATTTGAACAATATTGAATGAAACACTACAGTTTCATTACGAAGAAGCAATTTTGAAAATGTTTAAAATTACATTAAATCGGCCTATCAAATTAAGAAGCAATTTTGAAAATGTTTAAAATTACATTAAATCGGCCTATCAAATTAACATTTAATTTAATGCTGTTCTTGTCAACACAACACACGATAAATAATTTTTACACATTCTATGATTTATTCATCTGAAAAAGCATGTCCTTGAACACCTATACAACGTTGTGCTCTGTTAACCATACCAGAAAAAGTGCTTTGTATCATTTGTGCATCTAAACTTTGGCACACTAAGATAACTGCCTGGCGGAGCTGTCTCAAATTCCTATAAGGCTGCTGCTCATGCGGGACGTTCCAGATTTGTTGCTTCAATTCGAACTTTCAATTGGTTTCAATTCAATTGCAAATTTTTCATTTCCCACATGCCCCTCGAGACAATTGTAGTTTTAACTTATGCGTTTATAGCGAACATTCCACTGGCAAATTTTCCTGGCTTTGTTATATCACATTATACAATGCTAACAGCTTGAAAATTCCACTCAACTATGTAATTTTTGTTAGTCTTGTTTAAGGTAAATGCTTTTCCATTTAAAAATAAAGATAAAAGCCATATTTTTCACGCGAAGGCAACTTTTACTTTGTGTAGCGTGGTGCCATGTTTGTTTTGTTTTGAAGCAATCTGTGACCGTTACTTCTTTAAACTGATTGGTTGATTTAATCATCACATTGTTTTTTCCACCAATCAGATCAGTTTGTTACAGATTTTTGCACTGTGATTACAAAAAATTGCACTGTGATTACAGAAAATTGCACTGTTGTTTGGGATTAACTGCACTGAAATCAACCAATCACAGTCTAGTAATATCTTTATGTATATTATTATATAGGGTACATGTTTGTTAAGTAATTTGTTTAATTTATTATAAAATGTTGATCTAATGCTTCAACAAAAACTATCTCCTTTAACAACACCCCTATCAATATCCCATCTTGCTCTATTAACCTTAATAGCAACAGTAATAATTCCATCTTAACCACCCAACCTTAACCCAAACTAATGAGCTTGCACCCCTAATGGTATCACTTCTAATACCAACATTACAAGGAGAATCAATTCTAGAGTTGTTTCCTCATCCCCTCGCACAATACGGCCCACACCTCTAGTTTCCCCGGCTGTAAGGAGGTCACGACATGTTGGTTCAACCGTCACTAGGAATATGTCTAGCCCTAATATTACTACCCCAAACACCTTCACAACTAACAGGAGGAATACTATTAACACAACCCTGACTAACGTAACTAATTCTAACCTGGTGGATTTTCTCTCGCGTATGCATCTCCCCAGCTATCACCTAAACACGAAAAACCAGATGAAGCCCCGCTAACTAAAAAGCTAACCAAAACCAAATTGCACAAATATTTGCACACCAAAAGGAATAATAATAATTACCAATTTAAAAGTAAAGGTACAATTCTCTCTGAAATTAAAATGAAACGTATCAAAGATAGTGTGGTGAATTTATCCAACACACCTCTAGACCAACCCACCATTCAAATTTTATCTAAAGGTCTTAAATTCATACCCACACCACAACCAACTAATATGGAGATTATATACAAGTCCTATCAGGACTTTCGACGAAAGATGCGCCTTCGATATTTCTTCAAAGAATCTACTAACAATGATACTCCCTCCCATCCGTTCAAATTAAAAAGTGACTTTACACCTCCACTTCCTGACAATGAGAACCTTCTAGAGTTTATTTCCCTAGTTTATCAGGAAATACTCTCGCACCCCAATACCCCCATTGACAAACATAATAACTATTGGAGAGAAGAAATACTTGATTGTTAAACCAGCAGATAAAGGTGGGACCATTGTCATCTGGCCAAGAGATGACTATTTACGCGAGGCCTCTAAACAACTTGCCAACACTACCCATTACAACCATATTTCAATGAATCCCATCCCTGAACTAATAACTAGAATACAACAATTTGTTCAAAATAATCATAAATTAGGTCAACTTGATTACACCACATTTAAATTCCTAATGCCCCCTATACCTACTAAAACTCCCACCCCATACTTACTACCCAAAATGCATAAATCTGGCAACCCAGGTAGACCTATCATCTCTGGGTGTAATGGCCCCACTGTCAATACAATACAATACAATACAATACAATAACATTTATTTAACATGATCAAATACACTTAGCTACAGAAAAAGCTAATTTACAGGTATTGCCACGATAATATTAATTGTTTATAAGACTATAGTAAAAAGAAGACTAAATTAGAATTGTAGTTATTACATTAATTTGATCTAACTAAGTGAAAATGCGTTAAGTTACTGTAGATTGTCTAAGATTCTAATGTCGTTTAAACTAATACTGTTTATCAAAATATGCGGACCACTTCCTCAAACCGTTAGTAATATCCCATCATTTGTTAAAGATTAAACGGATTTCCTTAGACGTATATTTAAACTTAACCATAATCTAATTGATAAAGACCCAACACTCAAGCTTCTATGGCCAGAACCCCCTTTGGTTCCTACAAACGCAACCATAATATTAAGTTGACTGTGGCATTTCCTACGATAACACTTATATGAAACAACTGGAATAGACTCAACATCGTTGCATAGTTGGTCAACCTTTTTAATTACCTACAGTTGGACTCTTAAAACAGAGCCTGATGTTTTTGGACATGCATGTACCTAATATGCTTGGACGGCTAATAGCAATAGTTTTAATAATTCCTTTACCTAATTGTAATCCTCTATGCATGTCAACATGCATGTTATACCTTAGGCGTCATAGGCGTCCAATGTAGAATCATTCAGCTATGATCAGCGCGTATGTACCAACTTATTCCCAGTCTCTATTTATTTTCATATGACCATTGGTTCCTTGTTCAAGTAACACAAACATGCTTGTCAAGTTTTAATAGTATATTATGTAAATGTAATGGATAACTCGAATCCCTCCACCTAGCCTACAGGCCTGGCCGTAAGTATTTGGGCAGGCGCGCGGCATATCGTGCGCCACAGGCGCGTGCGTGATTTAAAAAAAAACGGTAAAAATTACACTTATACAGACTAGAATAACATTCACAAAACTGAGTTACAATTTATGTAGAACAAAACAATTTTAAAATTGGAGTTTAGACG